TTTCATATTAAAAGTACCAAAGCACAATGCTTATTGCGATATATTGGATGGGAAGTGCCCTTCAATGTTCCGTCCATTAACTGAAAACAGGCTAGACTAATCGATTCTTGGGATTTAAGAATCGATATCGTTCCGTAAAAATGAGAATCGATTCATATCGAGATATCAATATTTTTTTTACCCAGCTCTAGTTTCTGGTGATATTTTGTACCTTATTTGTGGAAGAGGCCTCCTACAGTACTAGAGAATACTGCTAGCTGAACTGTATGCAGGATGACAGCAATAATTAACTGAATCAAATACTCGACTGATTTCCTTTTAACTTCCTGACTTCCCGTACAGCTCCGCACAGCCAGTCCTAATTCTGCTGTTTAATCGAATAATTTTCAAGTTCAAAGCCAGGGGTACACTGTTATATAGTCAGGGTTTCTTTTTTTTTCTTTTTCATACAGCAGTATGCTAGCTTTGCCAAGCTGTTAGGAGCTCATAATGTTTAGAAATGCCACCAACAGATAGTGTTTGATATTGTAACGCAGAAGAGGAAAAAATGTCAAGTAATGTTTAAATCTCCAGTGTATTGGCAGGAGGATGTGAAGATCAGGCTGTTGCTGTCACTCTGATCTGATAAATGTCTACCTGATTTAAGACCGACATCTAGTGATCACCTCTTGCAAGCTGTATCTGGGTGATTCTCACAGACACAGCCTATTAAGAACATTGCTTATGTTTCACTCAAAAATGATTAAGAATAAATAAGAATAAATTCATATTTATTCTTAAAAAAATAGTTTGCTTTTTACAATCACTAAGGCTTTTTTTGCCTTAGAAGCTTAATTAAATTTAATACTATAGTTTAATTTTAATTAAATTTGACATAAAATGGAAAAACACTTTATTTGTGAAATTTTTATGTATATTATTTTGATTATTGCTGCTGTTATTTTTAATTTGATAATTATTTTGTAATTTATTTAATTGAATTGGGAAGGTAAAATGATATACAACATTTAGTGTTTGTTCTAGTACCTTAAATTTATGATTAAAACAAATCTAGTAGTAGAGCAAGGATAATCTAAAGATAATCATTATTGGAAGAGTTGGAAAGTGCTTAATTTTCATGAAAATAGCCAATGCAATCATATAAAAAAAATACAATGATATATAACGTAATATACCATGTATAAACCTCTAAAAAGTATTAAATATAAAATTCATATAATTTAAAATTAAATGTAAAAATATATGTATATTAGTTTGTGAAATTTTTATTATAAATATTGTAGTATATATGTGACCCTGGAGCACAAAACCAGTCTTAAGTCGCTGGGGTATATTTGTAGCAATAGCCAAAAATACATTGTATGGGTCAAAATTATTGATTTTTCTTTTATGCCAAAAATCATTAGGATATTAAGTAAAGATCATGTTCCATGAAGAGATTTTGTAAATTTCCTACCGTAAATATATCAAAACTTTTTGATATAATTATTACTAAAACATTTTGATTAGTAATATGCATTGCTAAGAACTTCATTTGGACAACTTTAAAGGCAATTTTCTCAATATTTTGATTTCTTTGCACCCTCAGATTTTCAAATAGTTGTATCTCGGCCAAATATTGTCCTATATTAATATAATATAATATTGTCCTATTTCGAAAAATTGACCCTTATGACAGGTTTTGTGGTCCAGGGTCACATATTATATTAAAACTCATTGCAAATGAAGTACTTCATATGATTAATCATTTCTGCAGAATGAATCATCTTCATGAATTTAAAAATTCTCCTGTTTGTTCAAATGTATATGTGTATTTGTGTTCTCTCAGTTCCATAACTGTCTTTATGTTCCTGACATCCACATTTTTGTATACGTGTTTGTGTGTTTTCTGAACCATCAGATTCACATAGATATTCCCCGGATGAGTCCGGAAAGTTTAGTTCTGCAGCCCAAGGTAACCGAGGTAAGAGGACAGATGGAGCGCCCAGAGTCACGCCACATGCTTCTGTCCACCATCCACTCGAAAGCATGTCACTCGATCATCATCCGTCTGTCTCTGTCTGTCTGTCAAACTGTCTTCTGGTCGGCCAGCTCAGTCTTGAGCTCAAAAATGTTTTGTTGGAAAGCGTGTGTTAAGGTAAACGGGAAGTAGAATACCAGAATTCAGCGAGTTTCTTCTCAGGCGCAGCCTCAAATGGCCAGGCTCGTTTCTCTTTCTCGCTAGTCCGTTCTGTCCTAACCTGCTTGTGCTCCTCTTTTTGTGTCTCTTCCCTGCAGATTCACATTGACATACCGAGAACTAATCCTCTTATACCTCTCTTTCAACAAGCTTCTGTGCAAGAGGTGAGATGTTTGCACCACCCGTTTTACTCAGCTTGACTCGTTCATCCTCACAAACTCACACCCAGCCACAAGAAATTCCCTTAAAGAAACAGTTCACATTCTTTCATCCTTATGTCGTTTCAAACCCATAAGATTTCCTCTGTGACACAAGAGGAGAAATTCTGACTGTTGTGGCCAGTGTTTTCCTTACATTCGCAATGATTGGTGAATAAAGCTTTTAGGATTCCAGAAGTATCCAACTTCACCATAGAAATATCATAAAATTGATCTATACATGCATGATTCTCTCATGTGTGTGAGAGAATAGACCAAAATCTAGACTAATCTAAAAAGTCTTAAGCGTAGATACTCGAGTTGGGGATTTTTTTAAAAACTATTATTGTTTAAATAAATTATTTTAATGAATTTATAATATTATTTCACATAAATAAAATGGAAAATAAACAGTAACGTCATTTTCATGACAATGAAGGACAAATTCTCATAATTATGCAAAAAATATATATTTTTAAATATTATAATTACATCACTTAGTATTTGTCGTACAGCCTTAAATGTATGCTAATGAATGAATGAATGAATAAATAATAAATAAAGAAGCAATAAATAAACAAACAAATAAATAAATAAATAGTCCACTCTGTTCCTCATATAAATATAGTATAAGACTTCAGAATTTCACATTGAGCTGTCTGGCTTTGAAATTCTATTACTGCATTTATATCACATGATGGCATGCAACAGCAACAACAAAAAAATTATTGTAATGATGTCTGTGTCATTGGGGCATCCACTAAAAACAATCTGTTGCAAACTTTAATGAATTGCCTTACTGTCTATTTTTTTATTTTGTTTTATTTATTTACATATTTTATTTTATTTATTTACATGCTGGCTGAGTGTTTTTGTAGGCACATTTAACCAAACCCAGCGCGGTCCACAGTTGCATATTCATATTATTAAATTCACTGTCATGGGCTTGCTAGACATGGATTTCCTTTGCAAAGGCAGGTGTGTCGATACATTGTGGCACTGAGCAAGATTCCTTCTTTTCACCCGCTGCCTTTCAAAAAATTTTTTCGCATTTAAAAGAAGTATCAAAAAACACGCATTATTAAGAAAAAAAACATGGACGAGGCCTCCACTGTGGATGTCTCCTAAACAAATAAATGGATAATTTATTCGCTTCAGGCACTTCAATACACTCCAGCTCGCTCATTGATTTCTGCTGCCTGGTTTAGTGTCTAATTTCCACTGTGTAATGGGCTTCTGGAGGAGAGCGAGATCTTGCCATATTACCTCGAGGAGAAGAGAGGGTACGAGGGAGAAAAGAGGCAGGAGATGTCAGCTATGTGGAGAAACTCACATTACCAGTCTAATGTCTTTGATAAATGGAGCTTTGATCATAGAAAAGAACGCAGATGAGAAAGCCACACCATTTGATCGAAGAGATCCAGAATAAACAAGCGTGAGCTGCCTTGTAGACATTTATTGTTTAGGGCTCAACATGAGAGATTAATTTATTTGGGGATGACAGATACATTACGCCCTGAAAGGAGCGCGGGAGATGTCAGCTGCATGCTTCAGAGAGAAGAGATGAGAAAGAGTCTTCCATTTTCCCTCTTGAATTAAGTCGAACTTCATGCTGCTTTTCATTGAGCTGACAGCAAGGTGAGACAAATGTAAAAAATAAAAATAAATACAAATTCACCATCACTTTGAATTAAGGTGTTGCCTCCAAAGAAAGGAACGTGAAATTCCCGCAAAAGTTCTTGGTTTTTACTGTCAAAAAGATCAGCTTAAAAACAACATCTGTATTTAAACTCTAAATACTCTAAACTCAGACACAAAACTGCATGTATATTCATAAATGTATTTAAAGAACGAACATGATTTTGCCTAGTAGGATGTGTTCCTGAATCACATATTTTAGTCAAACTACTGATGCTGAACAATTGGTTTTATATATACAGTATATATGTATATATATATATATATATATATATATATACATATATACTGTATATATAAAACCAATTGTTCAGCATCAGTAGTTTGACTAAAATATGTGATTCAGGAACACATCCTACTAGGCAAAATCATGTTCGTTCTTTAAATACATTTATGAATATACATGCAGTTTTGTGTCTGAGTTTAGAGTATTTAGAGTTTAAATACAGATGTTGTTTTTAAGCTGATCTTTTTGATTTTAGTACCGGACTGCCTTTTTCGAGAACCAAATTAGCTCCTACTCCGGAGCAGGGTCTAACCAGCACAACTGGTACTAATCGTGACGTAAGTAGACACTGATTGGCCAAACGCGTACAAAAACGCCCTCACCCGGCATGATTTAAAACGCTGTGTAAACATACTGTAAACATGGTGTCAACTTATTTTGCAAGTATGGAGAACAGCGATAGATGGACGGACGCTGAAGTGCAGGCACTTGTAGCAAATGTAGCACTGCCAGTTGTCGTTGGAGATTCCTAGTCCTCCTTTCCGTTCTTTCAATCGCTTTACGTATACGTCGACTTTCCATGTCCATTATTGTGAAACCCGCGAGACACAACAAAAACACAGCTCCGATCACAGCGTCCTCCTGTTGTTAACATTGTTTTTCTTTGTTTCCGTTGTTGAACGCCGTGCACAAATGACGACGCTGTCGACTGGTTCCTAGTACACACTGTCGATGCGAATGCAACCCTTTAAATGGTACTGGGAAATAGTTCGCGCAAAATCGTCCCAGTACTTTAGTACTGTTCATTTAGTTCTGGAAATAAAGCGGTGCGAAAGGCCCTATAGTCCTGACCTGAATCCTATTGAGATGCTGTGGCATGACCTTAAAAAGGCGGTCCATGCTCGAAAACCCTCCAATGTGGCTGAATTACAACAATTCTGCATATATGAGTGGACCAAAATTCCTCCACTGCGTTGTAACAGACTCATTGCAAGTTATCGCAAACGTTTGATTGCAGTTGTTGCTGCTAAGGGTGGCCCAACCAGTTATTAGGTTTAGGGGACAAACACTTTTTCACACAGGGCCATGTAGTTTTGGATTTTGTTTTCCCTTAATAATAAAAACCTTCGTTTAAAAACTGCATGTTGTGTTCACTTGTTATCTTTTACTAATATTTACATTTGTTTGATGCTCTGAAACATTAAAGTGTGACAAACATGCAAAAAAATAAGAAATCAGGAAGGGGGCCAACACTTTTTCACACCACTGTGTGTGTATAAATAAATAAATAAATAAAAATAAAAAAAATAAAATAAAATAAAAAATAAAAAAAATTGGCCACAAAGGCAGAATGCGCATTGTGACAAAACAATTTAAAACATACTGTTGATGAAGATGACCGCACAAAATAATGTAAAAAAAAAAAGTTTTTTTGATTGAAAAATCTAAGAAAAAGGTATGTGTATTTAAGTAATGATATCAAAGCGTTCTTTTCTGTAACAAAATAGTAAAAAAAACTTGTGTACAGTGAACATTGTGTTACAGTAGATTACATAATAGTTATTATTTCTGTAGCAAATATTTTAGAATGCTTTCTTAAATATTTACTTTAATTAAAAAATATGAGGTTGTGTTTTGCAGCTTCTTGTCAATTAAAAATATGTTTTTATGAAATAGTAAAAGTACATTTGACTACAATTATTAAGGTCTCATGACAAATATTGAGTATTGATATTAGCGCAGGCTATGCTAAACCTAACCATTAACTACATAAAATCTAACTATCTCCCCTAATATTCATTAATTAATTAATTAATTAATTCATTCATTCATTCCAAACAATTATTTTGTATTTTATGAAACACTTTTTTTGTCTGCAAGCTCTTTAATACATAATGCTTTAGTAATGTTGAAATACAGCATGGCATATTAATATAATGTTGAAAAATCCTTCATTGTTATTCACAAAATAATTTGGTTGCTGCCATGTTTCACATCGCCATACCCCTTCCAACGCCACAACACTGCAATTTGAGTTTCATCTAGAATTCAGAGTTTCCCGCTTGTAAATACAGTTTTGCTTGGTTATTCTTGTGCTCGGAACTCATTCTCATCTCCACTCGAAGGCTACATTTTGAAAGGCTAAGCAAAGACTTCACATTAAAACAGAAATATTCTTTGGGCTTAAGCTGATCCTTAGGTGTAAACTAAACTAAAATAATCTTAACTTTCCACTTAAATCAGAAATGATAGACTGATATGTCTTTAGACATTTAATCCAACCCCAGGTAAGGTAAACCTAAGGTAATCCTAACACTAGCGTTAACCCTAAAATCCGATTGGTCAATAACAGTGTTCTTTCCAGAACCCACAATTCTATAAATCCAGCAACACATCCTGCTTGGCAAACCACAAAAGAGAGAACCCCATCTAATAATAAATATGCACACAGCTACTTGTAATTTCTCACCTTGCTGTCTGTGCTATTGAATGTTGTGATGTTAATGATTCAAAAGCTCAGAAGGCTTAATTGATTTTCTTAATTGATTGCTGGCTGGGGTGGTTTGATCCCACTGTGTCTCTAATTAAAACCGTTTGAGTGACCTTGTATGCTCAAATTCTGCTACTAACAGTTTTCATGTTGTATCGCATGAATCATTATATATCAATATCTGCTACTTACAAATGCTGAATATATATATTTTCTGATATCTTCTTCTTTTTACTAGATCTTTGAGCGGATTCTGTTCATCTGGGCGATACGACATCCAGCCAGTGGTTACGTTCAGGGCATCAATGACCTTGTCACACCCTTCTTCGTTGTTTATGTTTTTGAGTATATTGGTAAGTCAATAAACCTTTTATAATATGAGATATGCAGTTATGTATAGGGCCCTGGCAAACTCCTAAAACAGCACAGCTGTGTAAATTGCTGTTAAGCCAGCGTGGGTGTTTTATGCCCAGTGGAATTAATTTGAATTAATTCGTTTCTCAATCATAATTTCATAATATTTTTCATAACCTGCCCCTTTAAGCTCTTCCAAGGATCTTCGGTTTCTTTGTCAGATTCAACCATTATGATTGTTCCCCAAGTCCTCCGTTTTCTTGACCTCTACACCTTTAAGTGCTTGATTTCCAGTAGACTAAACGGGATGTCCAGACTAATGATTTTGAAGGGCCCAGAGGGACTCTTCCAGTGGACTTATGAGACAGTAATAGCCTAAACCACACAATGAGCTCGGGCGGCTCAATTGATGCACTCAGTGGATTGAGGATGGGGGGCTTTTCCTCAGGCTTTGCAGTTGTTGGCATCTATGGGGATACATTTTTTTCTTGGGTCATTTGACCTTGTCTAATCCTGAGGAATCAAAGTCCCACTTTGTTTTCACAAGTTCCATCCAATGTGTCCTTCAGGCCAGAAACATACTCTACACAAGTACACAAATGCTTTGCGTGACAGTAGTTGACCTGAAAGAGAACGGTCGCATCGCATCACTGCTCATTAGCATACATTTCAGCTCAACATTGTTGCATTGCAAACCGTTGCAGTTGCTCATGTCGCCGCAAATCACAGACTCCCCTGAGAATGAGTGACTTCTGGGTGCTTTGTCACTCCAAATCGCTGTCAATGTGAACGGTCCTTCCTGAATTACGATGTAAACTTTTGTTAATGCAGTGATGTGTAGATTTGAGAAGCTTGAGCATCGAAGGGTTAGTTCACATAAAAATCAAATTGCAATGTGTCCTTCAGGCCAGAAACATACTCTACACAAGTACACAAATGCTTTGCGTGACAGTAGTTGACCTGAAAGAGAACGGTCGCATCGCATCACTGCTCATTAGCATACATTTCAGCTCAACATTGTTGCATTGCAAACCGTTGCAGTTGCTCATGTCGCCGCAAATCACAGACTCCCCTGAGAATGAGTGACTTCTGGGTGCTTTGTCACTCCAAATCGCTGTCAATGTGAACGGTCCTTCCTGAATTACGATGTAAACTTTTGTTAATGCAGTGATGTGAGTAGATTTGAGAAGCTTGAGCATCGAAGGGTTAGTTCACATAAAAATCAAATTGTCATTTACTCACCCTCACGTCATTCCAGATCCATGCCATCCAAAACCGAGATTTCTGTCCCTCCAAAACTTTCACATATTGAAGATACAAAAGGCACTTTTGTAAGTAATCATAGAAGTAATCCATATGAATGGTGCGGTTTAATTCAAGTCTTCTGAAGAGACACAATCGCTTTATATGATAAACTGATTTCATTTAGGCTTTCATTCATATATAATCATTGCTCAACCCACCAACATAGTTATCATATGGTGAACACGGAAGCTCAACCCTGCTTGCTTGACATGGAAGAACAAACCACGTTTGAGCTTCCAATTACCATATTTAATTGAATTCTGTGTTATGTGCATTGATCAGTTTTTATACATGAATAAAGGCCTAAGTTAAACATTTTCATCATGTAAAGGGATTGTTTCTCTTTGGAAGACTTGAACATTTTGAAATGTCAAAATGGTTTTGGTTGCTTGGATAGAAATCCCTCAGGTTTCATTTAACCCTTAAATGCATACCTCAGGTCTTTAGCGACCCGGGACATCATTCTCTACCCTCTCCCTCCTTCATTTTTAAAAGTTAGACATCAGCTTTCTTAGTATTCCTCAATCTATTAATTATAAACGATATAACAAGAAAATGAACTTTTCGTAAAAAAAAATGTATAGGGTCGCTAGAGACCCGAGGTATGTAAATGTGTAAGTATTTTTTCCTGCACGACTATATTTACATATCTGACGACTCAATTAGTGCAATGCATCTTTTTTCCTCAAGATAGCACTGTTTGGTATATAAGGATGACGTGATGTTTCACTCATAATTACATAGGCATAAAACAAACCAATATCATCAGCAAAAATGTAACTGGTTTTAATGCTGGATAGAACTGCCATTTGATGTTGGATGTGGTGAATAAGGTGCCAGTGATCAAAATATTGAATATGAAGTCATTGAAAATGATGGTTTTGAGAATATGGTTGAGATCGTGAATGTGAGGCAGATGCTGAATGTACTGTGGAAGTGCGCTCTGGCGATGACAGCGATGGTAAAATCATCTGGTCAAATTGAACCCTTTTAAGTTTCAAAAGGAAGCAAAATATGCTTTATTTTATTCTTCTGTAATTGTTCTTAAAATATCAAGATAATGTTTTTGCTAATGCAGCAGTTAGAGGTCCATCCGTGCTGGATATATAGGTCCGGGTCGCTAAAGACCCAAATATGTAAAAATGATTGACGAAACATTCATGCATTTAAGGGTTAAAATAGCTTAATTTGTGTTTAGAAGAGGAACACATGCCTTATGGGTCTGGAACAACATGAGGTTGAGTAAATGATGACAGTTTTGTGCTGTTCTCATGGTGAAATGAGATGCTTAATTGTCCCTTCTCTGAAAGGCATACTTTATTTCTGTTTTGTATGCCTCTGTGTTTGTATACACTGTGTATATTTGTCAGAAGACAGTGACAGTGCCTTAAGAAGGCCCCTGCTCTCCTATGATAAAGATGTTTGGGAGAACTTTCTCTCTTCAGTGTGTATGGAGGAAAGTTTGGTGGAAAATGTACCTGTACCAACTTTCTCAGCAGTTTGTTTCCCACAACTCCACCCGGCGCAATAAGGCATGGTGCCATGTGTGACAGATACTCATTCAAAGTGTGCTATGTGGGCCAAGTGCGGAGGAAAGTTTGGTGGAAAATGTACCTGTACCAACTTTCTCAGCTATTTATTTCCCACAACTCCACCCGGCGCAATAAGGCATGGTGCCATGTGTGACAGATACTCATTCAAAGTGTGCTATGTGGGCCGAGTGCTGACTGCTGAGGGCAAGCAGTTGCAAAACATCACGGCTTCACTCTGACGATAGACACATATCCATCAACGCCTGTGATGGCACACGCCAAAAAAAATCACTACTTGTCTACAGTGTATGGGAAGGTACTTTAAATTATGAGTAGCCTGGATTGATACTGTTTTAACGTAGTTCAACTATAGTCAGTACAAATGAATTAGGGAGCAACTACCGATGAATAGTTCGTACATCCAGAATTCTACTCCTTTATCCACTGAGAAGCTTGACATCACCCTAACTCTCATTGATGCGTTTATGAGAGTAATAATTATGACTGATGTGTGAACAAATCTATCGAGTCAGAGTTTTCTGTCAATTTGTTAAACTTTTCTGTGAATTGTGGTTCAAGTTTGACTTGATCCTGTCATAGCGGTTAACGTCTTAAAGGAGGTGAAGATTACCATGAAACATGGTAATCTCCAATTTATTTTTTTTCTCTCAATTTTAATAAACACATTATTTTCCACATACTGTTCATTATTGTTTCTCCTCTATGCCCTGCCTTTCTGAAATGCTTCGATTTTTACAAAGCTCATTAGTCTGAAAAGCAAGGTGTGCTCTGATTGGCTGGCTATCTAGTGTGTTGTGATTGGCCGAATGCCTCAAGCATGTGTCGGAAATGTTACGCCCCTTACCATACTGTGATGCCCTGTGTGCTGGTGATGCGTGACAAGACAAAACCAGTAAAACCCATTATAAACGAGGCATTTGTTGTATC